GGGAGGTAGATGTATTGAAAGACTGCTTGCAGACACTATGTATGACGACATCTAGTAGAATGTCTACGGAGACTGACAACCTGCAATGAGGAAGACAAAAAGGAAACAATTAGGAGACACATAAAATAAGTATTTTTGACATAAGTATAAAATTTGGGCACTGTGGTAGAGTATAACTCCATTATGGATACGATTTTATTTTGATAAATCACACAGTGTTGTACAGCAATATTACTTGGTGGCGTTTTGAGCACAAACTATTGCTCATGATCATATCAAGTCAGTCACACAACTTTTTGCCTCATTCATATACATGAGTATTTTAGTTAAGCGTACTACAGGGATAGAAGGTCACTCATCTCATTCACTTCTATTCACACTATTTCTTACGTCCGTGTTACTGACTTTTGGTTTATGTTTTCCTCTTCGGTGCACTTTATCTGGACAGTTTAAGGAATCGGGAAATGCATAGAGTACTTAGGAAACGGCATGAATAATTGTTTAAGCTAATTAACACTAGGTAGTTGTGACACTACGCATCTGCAGTGACAAAGCTGACTGACTGAGTTTTAACATGGAGTTCAACACAGAAGTGTAGCAGTTCGATTTGTGACGTTCCACACTTGAAAAATATTATATTTAGTTGGTAATAAGCAAAACATATTTCATCAGATGTGTTTCAACTTCGCATTTGGGCTACACGATAAAATTAACTAACTAATGAGATATAAGGGACAGAGTGTGAGAGTTATCTCGGGTAAGAGGAGAAATTATTGTAAGATCACTTTTTTCAGTTAGACAAGAACTAAATGAAAAAATACGATTACCATTTGTTGACATTTTGCCTATTTTTATCCACGTTTTAGCATTTCATTATACCTGGACTATAGATCATTCTGACAGACTGACTTTCAACATAGAAGCTTGCACACAAGTGCACCCGCTTAAGTTAGCACATTCCATGTAGCACACAAAGGTAGAAGAAAAAAGAAATTAAATGTCACTATAATGAGCATAAATGTGATGAAAAACAGTCATATGGAAAAAATATAAGGGTTGCTCAGATATGTGAGATTACACAGAGTGAATGCATCTGTGTCATTAACAACGTTTGGAATCACATTTCTACTTAACACTAAGCTTAACCCCAATATTACTCACCATATTAGACTACTTAACACAGAAGAAAGGGTACAGACACTACGATCAAAAACCAGTAGTCTTTTCATATCTTCCAGTTTCAATGGTCACTTATCGCAGCCTAAGTGGACAATACCATCAGCATACACTAAGTTGACAAGACTGTTCCCTGGTAAGGGCCTAAAGTGAGTAACAGACAATTCGGTTAATACATTTATGATGAAATTGAACTAAAATAAGGACGACAGTTGTAGAAATGAGCCTTGTACTACATCCTTCTTTGAAATATCAGTTCCTTCATAGTTTAGTTTCAGTAATAAGTGAATGGAATGCAGTCTACAGATTCATGAAATTCGCATACTGACGTACTACTTTCCTAGAATCCTAGTTGATGTCTCCTCAGGAAAGTGGGAAATGAGCATTCCACTTGCGTAAACTCAATAGGCTGTGAACTGCTGACAATGAAAACGACAACAATTTTTGGTATTACTTAATTCCAAAAACGATCACATAATCTTTTATTCCGACTTCTGGTTCCATCAGATGAAATTAAAGGGAAGAGCTGAGAATAGAGGGGATGTTGAGGGTTAGACAGTATAGATTTAGACCATTTCTCGCATGAGTTTAGATGTCTTGTAACTAATGCATTAACGAGTTGACTAAATGGTACACCACTTGCCCTAATGACAACCTTAATACCTTGCACAATACGACATAGTCGTTTTTGAGTAATTCAGGAAAGAATAAGGGGGAGCAGTAAAGACCAATGCAAGAGTTAACAAGTTGTAAAAAGAGAGGTTGAATGATTCCTGACTGTCTTGACTACATAACATGGTAAGCTAGACTGAAGGTTTTCTTAGAAATCGACAAGATATAGAATGACCAAGAAAGACCAGAGGATAGATTTACTCCAAGGTATTTTATGTTAGACTTAGTTTCTGTTTCAGTGCCCTCTTTGATACAGGCATCTTGTGAACGACACAGTTCTTGCAGTTCACGCTTATGAGTGAGGGAAAGTTAGCTGCCTGACATTTAGAGGGATTTAACGTAAGACCACGTACCTTAGACTACAGACAGGAAGCAGTTAAGTTTGCTGCAGTCACATTGTAACATGACAGGAAAAGAGACGGTCAGATCACCAGCGTATTTGACGAAGTTGCTCTCATTAGAAAGAGAAAAGTCATGTAAGACGAGAGAGAAAAAAGAAAAGGAGTGATAAAAATAGCCTGAGGAACACCAGCTTCAGCAAGCGAGGCGGAAGATTTACCCTAATATACAGTATGCTGCATTCCATTTGAGAAATGATAATGCAACCAATCAACTGCCCAGGACCCAAGTTTGCACGATCGAAACCTTATTCAACTAAAGTCATCTAGGCGCTGAGTCAACAACAACGGCGAATGCTGAATGACCGAAAGCTAAGCACAAATGTGACAAAGCACAAATCCAGTTGCAAAGTAGGAGACGAGTCCCGGGTGGAAGAAGAGATTACTGAAAGGTATCTATTTTTCATTTGGCAAAGAACAAGATTAAGAACTACACTTATCATTTGTTGAAATTTTGGAGATCATTTATCAATGTTTCGCATTTAGTTATGCCCAGACTGTGTCATTCTGACTAGCTTTCAGCTCTTTCTCTCACTTGATTACGTAACCTTTTGCATCAACTCTACTCTCATTTTTGCTCTAACGTAATTTATTTTTTCATTTCTATGATTTGACTTGAACTCACTACACTATTGTGCAACTGATTAGCTATTTATCATCAAATTCTCACCTACCATCTTAATCGTGTGACTCTATTCACGATGTATCGCACTGCTAATTTTGCATGTTTGTATTTTGCTTGAACTTTGACCTCTTTAAATAAGTTTTATAGGTGTTACTTCTGATCATCGTTTATTAATTTTATGTCTCAGATAAACAGAAATTGTGTAACCTGTGCAAGTATGTTAAAATTTCTTTGCACATATACATAATTAACTTTTAGGTTGTATGCATCTGAAGAGAAACCAACAAAATAAATGATAGCCTCATCTTATTCTGAACAAACGTCTGTTTTCGCTTTATTATTTAAATGCATCATATTGTAACGACAGAAGACAAGGCAAAAGATTGTTTACTGAGAAAGTCAAGAGATATTTATATGTACACTATTATTAGCAGAAAAACAGTGTCTTCTGATTGGTTGTTTTCTCACTGAAAGCTATTCTGCCATCTCTTTGTGGCTGTTTCTTTGAAGGTCAGACCATATATATGCTAATCGTATCCGCCCACACTAAGTCTACTGTGATTGGTTGTTGAGTTACTCAAGGTTAGGCTTTATTCTTGTTTTCCCCCATAACCAAGATTTGGGACGCAAACAATGACATAAATTGCTGTCTACCAATTCTGGCTAACAGACAGCTCTCACTACAGTATTGATGTCCTCCGTCTTCATTCTAATTTATTAAAGTACATGTTGATGCTGAAATTATTTACGGTTGGTTATATGCAGTTAATAAGATTCAGTGAAATAAACTGAGGATATTATAATATCCTGCTCAATTTGTTGCTCTTGCTTTACTGAAGTTAATCAAAGGAAAAGAATTGTATGGCAAATGACCAATAGTTTGGCCCCATTGCTGAAGCTTCATATGTTTATAAGTTTTCTTTTTTAATTTTTCAAATTAACTTACACGATTGTTCTGTGTGATTCAGTTAATTTACAGATTTCAATAGAATCAGACTGGAAACAGATAGCAATTTGTTTGCTTTGTATTGCAGTCTCTAATCATTTATTTGTAATCTCGAGGAAAGCATTTATACATCTGTAGGAGACTATACAAGCCTTACTAAACGCAGTGTGCCTGACTGCACACTTGATCAGTACACAATTCCGAATGTGTAAGTACTGTTCCCAAAACACGAGTGAAAAAGACTCAGTTATTTCAAAATATGATCTGATGAGTAACATACTTTAAGTAGGATGAAATAATGAGGTTATTTGAGCAAAAGATTTTAAGAGTTTTCTGGCTAGTGAGGGTGAGCTACAGAATTTTAGGATTTATGTTTTACCATTACGTAGGAAAGGTACAAAATGGCATCAAAACCTGGTTCGATGAGTACTTAAAACACCTTAAACATCAGCAAGCGGGTTAGACGTTTATTTTGATTAATAATAAGTTAATTCAATCTGATCTATTTATTGTAGCCTAAGATTCATTTTCGTGCTGTGAAAGATGCACTGAAAATTGATTTAATAGCAAAATACAGCTTAAATAATACTATGGCGATCAAAGTAGTCAGACCAAACAACTGGGTAGGAAAATTATTATTAGTTCAATAAATATTCTTGAAAAATAATGGAAAGTTAGGCTTTAAAATCTAAATAGGAATAAATTAAAAGACTGTGAGTTGGAGAAATTGCAATAGTAAGTCCTAATCAATAGATAAATCAATCATACTTGATCTAAATTCCCCGATTGTCTATATCTTCTTATGGAAAGGCTAACTAATGATTTTTCCCCCATACACATATGTACACACACCACTGTGTACTGCATACATATGTATGTTTTTCATAATCGGTTATCTACGACCATGAACTTTAGTCGGACGTAATAACGAAAAATATGATGCAAAAGTACATTCTGTTTACCGTGTTTAACAAAAGTAGACTAATACTTGAAATTTCATTTATTATATTCTGATGCCTGTTTCATGACTCTTATGATTGGAAGTAGTTTTTTAAAAAAGCAATAAGAAGACGTAATTCGTCTGAATCGTGTAATGTATTTGCACAACACATTCCGAACAATCAGATCACACATGAACTTGTTATATATATATATATATATATATATATATATATATATATATATATATATATATATATATATATGTTAAGAAGTGAGAAAATAAATTTAGGTCAAGTAAAAAGGACATTTTGAAGATGAAAATAACAACGAAGACCACTAAACCAAATAACAAAGCTAATAGTACATCTACCCTGGCTGGTATCAAAACAAAGAAACATTGCTTAGTCAACCGCTTGATGGATCAATAAAACTACCTATTTATAAGAAATCCGCACGGACAGGACAGTATCTAAATCATCACAGTTTTTGCCGTTTTGTACAAAAGAGCGTTAATGAGTGAGATGCCTCTTCAGTAGAATCCAACGAATATGCACTGACGGCACACTTGATGGAAAAGAAAGAAAGTTGACACAAACTCTGGTTGATTACAAGTAGTCAGAACACCAAGACCCACTCTAAAACTCCCCTCTAAGACGTGTACATCAAGCCACCCTATATGGAGTATCATAGCAACTTGATAACTGGAAATAGATTGAACACTGCTATTAAAAAGATTTTGTATGCAGCTAATGTCATAGTAATTGAGAATGAGAAACCTATATATCTATCTAAGCCCTTTGAACATGCGAAAAATTATGTAACATCCCACTATATTTACCATTTTGCACGTATGTGTGGACACATATAGGGAGCACTCACCGATCTCTGCAAGTAAGGGCTGGCTTCAGAGCATATTCCTAACTGGCTCCAGAAACAAATAGAATCCCCAGAACCTATTGATGGTGAGAAGTGGGGAACTAGCTGCTCTATTGAGAAACATATTATAGAGACAGGATATAAAATTGACATCTCTTAAACCTATCTGTAAGACGTGTTTGGAGCGTATCTTAAAGTTTATAGGAGGCCTAGCAATTATAAAGTTTAAACCACCTTTATGCAATATCAAAACAATTCATCATCACACTGAACCTTCCTTGGTAAACATTGTTTCGATACCATATATATATCATCACTCAGTTCACTAATTTAGTCTCTGCCTGATTAATGCTTCTGTATTACATAATCTGTTGATTGTTATCTAAAACTGAAAATTGCAATGATACATCTTTGGAAAAATTCCTTTCATTGCAATGTGAATGTATTATAAATGTGCTTTACTACAAATTGAGAATGGTATCTTCGAAAAGAATAATTCATCTCTAAACGATCATTTCTTTTTCTTTCAGGTTGAACCACGGATTGATATCAGTTAGAGAAGCATTGAAAACAAGGAAGTACTGGGCAACTATTTTGTCCATAGACTCATAGATGAAAAATCTGCTCTGAGTAACTAACTACGTGAATGGATTCTTACCACTAAATATGAGGCTGTAATTTTCACCTGTGAAAATTACGCTTTGGTGATTCTTGTGTTTTCAATTGTCGATTCACAGGGATTTGTTCGATTTCAAGTTAGATCCCGAACCAACACTAGTTAGAAAACAATTGAGTACTACATAGCTGTATCGTCCTAGTTTTGGACGCATTCATGATTCTTCTACCGGCCAGCGAACCTAGGACTTTGGTGTTATGAGGAAAGGCCACCGATCACACTGCAATTTCGCTGTATGTTGCGCCACTACCAACCGACGTCATAGGTAAGCACCTGTTCTGACATCGGAGCTGGTTGACTCCTGAAGTAATAGTGCATAGGTCACTGAATCGCATCCCAGTTACCAGGATCAGATTTCTTATGTACCTGGCTAAGAGGGATGATGAAACTACTCAGTCATTCGCTCAAGCTGAATTATGTGGAGCGAGATTCAAACCCATTCTTTGAAAGTCTGGCAATTAGGCCAACTGGTCTGTACCTACATTCAATGGAATAACTATACTGAATATTTTGTTTACATTATAACTTAATACCAGAAGATACATATGAATTAAAAATAGGCTTCTTCAATAGAGACGAATTTAATGTTGCTGATTCTACAAGGCTTGATAACTAAGAAGCTTGACTCGTATGGCATCGTTTTCTTAACGTTAAATTACTAAACCACACATCGAATTCCTAAGCATCTGCTCCTTTTTCCTCTGTGTAACAACACTTACAAATACTAAAACTATACAAATCAACTGAGGTGAATTCGCACTCATGATTCACCATTCCTACTAGCCTACTCAATTCAAGGTAATGAAATTCAGGCCCAAATTTTCTTAAACACAATCGTTTTCCCCAATACATCGGTGACAATCTCATATCACCCACATGACCAAATCAACTTGCCAACTAAACTGGCGTATATATCAGACTACATATCCATCACAGAAGACCACTTAACTGAAGTCCTCCAGATGCTAAGAAACAATGGCATGGCTCCTAATGGAGCAGATTTATTCACTACTTATCACTAAACAGATTCTGAAAATCGTCAGTAGTCTTAACATACTTGTTCTCTCTCCGGTACATAGTTTTCCACTGCGATTTAATTGCATTTCTTTTTACTAGTTTTATGCGCGCCAACGCCAAAAATGACACCTTGAATTCAGGTACCTCAGTGCAAAGTTTAACTTATTGAAAAGTTAGTCACCAATTACAATAGTAACAATGGTATAAGAGAAACATAATATTATGACACTAGTTACACACACTGTTATATCAAGAGGTGACATTCTCCCCTATGTGACCTACATACCTGAACTTTTGACCATGACGGAAGTTAAAGATCAAGTCACTGAAGTTTTCTTGGCACATCCTAACTTATTGATCGTGAACTAAATTCATTTACGGAACCATTAAAAACTAGGGAGTACGGTGAGGCTGTTTCGTCCCTGTTTGGGACACTTTATCACATGACTGCATAGGGAGTCGAACCTGAGACCATTAGTTCACAAGGCGAGCTCGTTAGCCAACCAACCATTGTGACAAAATCCAATAGCTCATCAATTCTAACTCCCCCCAATTCGCAATACATCGCACGACCACCATGCAATGTCATTGGTGAGTATTTGTCTTCAAATCCAACTCGGTGGATTTTGTTGACCAAAACTTCCCACTAGATCAATCTTCAAGTGTTGGTCTGCAGGGATTTGATTGGTTTTAAGTTTGATCACGAAATGACATCAGTCAGAGTACCATTATACAGTTAACCGGTCTGTAAATAAGACAACACAGTTAACTGTCCAGTAATCCTTGTTTCTCAATGTTTTTCTAAATGAAGTAAATTCATGAGCGAACTTGAAATTTAACAATTCTTCCAGCTCACCTTTCATTTACTTTGTGATAGTACAGTAAGTGTTAGTGATAGAATTATGAGTATTACCAATTACCTGAATTCAATATGTGAACTATGAGGATACAAGTCTAAATGAGGCTAGGAAGAATGAAAATCTAAATAATAATGGGTGAGTGAAGCGAATAATCAACCGCTCCATATGTGCATATATATATATATATATATATATACGTGGAATCGCTATCTCAGAAAAAAGATGATTTCAGTAAGAAAAGAACTGCTTAAGCTCTTCCAAATAACAGTAATTGTTGTATAAGCATTACTTTCAACAACTTATTACATAACTGTATACAATTTATTATACAACCTAAATTTCATAAAGTATCGTGTTCACTGAAGATTACTAAATAAATAATGTATACATACGTCACAAAAGGACAAGATAGAGGGAAAGAAAGTCGGAGGAACAGAGATACACCGACGGGTGTAGTCATTCACTGTAAGACATAAGACTAATTGACTGATTGGCACACACACATACACGCAAACACGAACAGATACAAAAACAAACGGCAAAACAAATAATAATATTAGTAGATATCATTAAATGTATAAGTATAGCAGGTAGACAATCACATCAATCACCATCGTCCACGTTTACTCCAATCTTTTGCTTTCCAATTAAGTAATTTTGAATCAACACGAAGATTACGACGTTGCATTGCTTTTTGATGAGCTTGGATAAGGTCACGCGATAAATAGATAACATGTTGACCTTTAACATAATATAATACATTTAAATGAGATAATGTAGCAATAACATCATCTCGTTTAATACACGTTCGGTCGACAATATCACTGGAAAGTAGGAAAGAAGTTTATGATGTAGACAGACGAATTAATTGAAATTATTATAAAAGGTAAACGGTTACTTAATTAATCAGTTTCACAGTATGCAAAACAATGGTTCACTTGTTTAGACATTGAGCTTTCAGATGGTAGGTCATGGATTTGAATTCCACCATATCTACTTACTGAGATCTATCAAGTCTGTCCTTAAATATGGATCAAGGACTCGGCGCGTCACCAAACTCATATCCAACAGGCTGCTGCGGACTTTTATTAACAGCTGTCTTCGCTCCATACTGAAGATCAGATGGCTAGTCGGAAAGGGTTAGTAACAAGGAAGGTTTGTCAACGAAACATCCAAAAACCCACTGCCTAACAAATATACAAAAGGAAAAGGAGATGGTTTCAGGATTTCATCATGAACTGACATTAGTTAGAGAACCTTTGGAAAACCTGAGAGTACTGGAGAGTTGTTTCGTCCTAGTTTGGGACTCTTCAGCAATATGCACCCACCTGGATTCGAACCCAGGACCTTCTGGTTACAAGGCGAGCTCGTATACCATTAAGCCATCGGGATCCGATCCCTAAAAACCAACACTTGAATAACAATGAGATGCTCACTAGCGACTTGCCCTATTGAGGTAGGTAGTTACCTGGGGTTTTAGTGAGAAGTTGTGACCAGTAGGGTGCAGCCGGTCGGGTGTGAGGACAAATACTCGCCGTAGACGTTGGCTAGGGGTTGCGCTATGTCGTGAATTGGCAGAAGTTAGAATTCATGGGACATTGGATTGGGTCCAGGTGGATTGATGGTATACGAGCTCGCCTTGTAACCAAAAGGTCTTGGGTTCGAGCCCCTGTGGTGGGTGTGTACTGATGAAGAGCTCCAAACTAGGACGAAACTGCTGTCCAGTACTCCCAGGTTTTCCAAAGGTTCTCTAACTAATGTCAGCTCATGATGAAATCCTGAAACCAATCAAATCCCTACAAACCAACACTTGAAACGGAGATGGGTTGGACACACGCTGGGAAAAACATTGAGTGAAACACGCTAGGCCCTCGAGTGGAACCTGGATGGGAAATGATGAGTTGGGCATTCGAGGGTGAAATGGAGGAGAGATCGTGTGAAGAGGAATTGAAAGCTTATGGACAATCGTGGAACCAGTTACAAAGTATAGGCTGAAATGGAGATGTGCTCCTGAAACCCAGGGGAACAATAATAATGTGGGGATCTTTTAGGTAGCATCGGTGATCAGGTTTAAGTCATGAGTGTATATGTAGTTACTTAGACTGACTTACAGATCAACGGAGAACTTAGCATAGAAGTGCACTTCAAAATAAGCACACAATATAGGGGAACAAAAATAGAATCATATTACATGGGTATGGTGGGGAAAATAAATTAAATAAAGACATTCAGGTTCTGGATAAATATATCTGCATCATTTTTAACTATTTCAACTCATGATTTCATAAAGAGTTTTCTCTAACCGTTGATTCTCAACATCTCCAGTATCCCAACCGAGGAATCTGAACTCCTTCAAGTAGTTTAAACTATTAGTCAATAACCTCATGGATTAATACCATATTCTAGTATGATCACGTGTGAATTGTTACCAGCCTAATTCTGCTTCAGTTAGCACAAATCGTAAAGGGAAAGGGTGATTTGGGATGCACAGTACAAAACACAATGACCTCGGTTAACGAAACTTTACAACCTCGGCGACTGACAGACTTACCTTTTTTTACCTAATACTCAACGCCTAACCTTATTTCTAGCCAGAGTTAACACGCAGTTTTTACAGACCACTTGTTAATACTCAGATGCAAACCATGTTATTTTTAACAAAAATCACCACCTCGTTACAGAAAACATACTATTTACTAGCTACATTATCATGATGGCGTGACGATAACAACAACGCCCACTAGTCACCTTCACAGTTATCTACCCATAAAAAAACGTGTATATCGCGCAGCAGTTCGCTCTGTCCTCCTTCATAATAACTGTCAGATACGGTCAGCGAAAGTGGAAGATATGAAGAGGATAGGTGTGTTTGACCACAGATGTTTGCATTCTGTCTCCCATGTTAAGTGGCACATTATGCTGAGCGATACTGAAGTTAGGTAAAGGAAGTGAATTGATGAAGTTGTGAAGCTACATCAGATGAGATGGCTAGAACACGTGTTGCGCATGTCAAGAAACCACCTTCCTTGCCCAGAAATGTTAACAGACATAGGATAATGTTAAGAGTTAGGGGTGGTCAGACAAAAACTTGGAGTTAATCTATGAAGTCTTTGACAAGTTGAAAGTTTTTAGCTTTTTTCACCACTATGATATGCTTCTCTTACTAGTCTGCAAATTAAGATAGGATTTCCAGATGGAGATAGTTATACCCAGTGTTATCGCATTACATTATATTCGCCCAACTTGGCACCACATCCCTAGTGCTAGTAATCTATCAATATCAAGTGCTTGGGCGGCCTAGTAGTAGAAGAGCCACCAACCATGCATGAGGTGCAAGTTGCATTTCAGACCGATGCACTCCAAAACATCGCCTAACCGGTAGGAAGTCTGGGAATGAGGGAAGGTTGGCTGTGAGGCTAGCAACCCTACCCCGTAAAAACAATGCCAACACTAATGAAACGTTAATGTTTGAAGCCCTTTTTCTACTCGAGAAGCAAAGAAGTAAAAAAGGGAGGTGTAGTTTGCCTGGTTGGAGTCTTCGGGATGCTAAGAAACAATGGCTGGAGACCATTGGTCATATTACGCAAAATCTCCGTTCTCAATGACACATTTCATTACACTACATTACAGTCATTTGGAACTTCTTTCTTTTAAATTCGGATGCTACATGTCACGGGCAACTTGCATTGCTGCAAGTCTATGCAAAGTTCTGTGTCGAAACACAGTTATAGTCACCTATAAGACGAGATATCAGTAAGGGTTCACCTTATCCACATTACTGAAGCTTTCAGCCATCCAAAATATTAAAAAAGCTGGAGCTTTACATGCAAAATAAACTTATCCAACCTACTGCATTCTGTTTCCAAAGTTAACAAAGGCATAATATGGTGAACAATATTGAGGTTGGACACAGAGTACTAACTAAGGAGGACAACTTAGTCGATGTAGTTGTGAAACTACATCAGTTGAGATTGTCTGAATACGTTTTACGTAGGCTGAGCCACTACCTTCTTCGCTAAGCAACTTGGCTGACATAGGACCAGGTTGGAAAAGTTATGAGTGGTCGAATGAAAACCTGGCACCAATCCATGAAGTCTTTGCCAGTTGGTTTGAGCCCCGTAGGTAGGTGTGGACTGCCTGGTTGGAGATCTTCGGGATGCTAAGAATCAATGCCTGTAGACTATTAAACATACGGCTCAAAATCCTCATTCTCAATGGCGCAGATGCATTTACTGTTTTTGATTTCCCATATCGATTAAATCCAAATATTTCTCTATGCAATTATTTTTTCTCCTGTACACTTTTGCTTATTATAGTTCTTTTGAATCTCTTTTCTCAGCCTTTGTCTACTGGATGCACTCTGGCAATTTGAACTACTTATTTTATTAGTTTTCTTCCATTACCGCTCCTAGTGGAACACAGGGTTACAGGTTAGAGCTTTGAATTTTCAGTAGCAGTGGTGTTTATTTTTAAAGTGGGATTGCTAGCCTCATGTCCAACCTTTCCACTCTACCAGTCTTATTACCGGCTTGGCGAGGAGTGAGTCGGCCGGAGAGTGAACCCCGAATCATATCCGTGGTTGGCGAGCATTCTACCGCCGTACCATCGACGCACATCTATATACCATAGTCATCCTTAATTATTGCTCCACTCTTGACCTCCAATTAAGTAAAAATCGTAGTGAAGCCACTACTTCTGGTTATTCAGGTTATATGCAACTGGGGAGAGATACCGACAAAATAAAATGGGTTCGCTTCATCTTGCTTTCGTTGTTCAAGCTGACACTATTCTTGGTAATTAAGTTATCATAAACCAGTCGCTTATATGACTATCTGATTAAGTTTTCAACGCAAAACTATGTACAAAATTGTAGCTATTCAACTTGCCAGTTCATGAAGAGGAAAAAGCGGAAAGGAATTAAATTCAAAGGAAATATAATGAACAGATGCGTACAGCAGAAAGCCTAAACTTATGGAGAATGAGTAGTTAATCGATCTGAGAGTTCATAAAGAATGAATGCATTTACACTAATGAGAACGATTTTAAGCCCTAATACCAACAGGCTCAAACTATTGGTGCTTCACCTCTTTACCGTAGATAAACAGAAATAAAACATCCAACAAATATTTTTTCAGCACTGTTTTTGTTTTGAGAAGTAATATAAGTGAATAGACTGATACATACTGACAACACCACTTTTTGGTTGTATTTTTATTATGGCATATTTGGGTAACTCAAAATTTAATGGTTATCATCGCAAACTTCGGAATATATCAACTGGATAATAAGTGGAACACACTAAAACCATGGAACTGCATACGCACTTATGTAATAGGCAATCGAGTCACGTATCTACTATGTGAATACAAATACTTTAAAGCATTTAACGATGCAATAAAAAATAGCTTTTTCAAAAGACAATTTTTGGCATAAACTGAGGTATAGATAAATACAGTATATAGATATTCAGTATACTTGCTTGATACTTAATGCAGGATCTTGTCCAGATTCACTTGCTTTAGAATTTAATAATAACTCCAAAATTGTTTGAGCCCAATACGACCGATAAGATAATAAGCCCAAATCACTCAACGGTTTTTCAGGTGATCCCGATTTACCTTCAATTTTGCTCAATTCATAACCTTAAAGTAGAAGACAAAAGACACACCGAATAAAGACAGGGTTTTATGATCCTAATGTCTAGTTGGGCATAATTATTATTCAGTCGAAGCGTCAATTAGTGTTTATTTTAGTTTACAATACCATATTCTCCAATTTCGATTAAGACTTCTGAAAAACAACTGTTACTTTAACATATATTGCAATGGACCAACAATATACATAAGATTTTTCCTGTTCCACTATCCTAGAAACGTTCACAAGATTAAAAGAAATTACTGCATTGAAGATAGCTTATACTATGGAGGTTAATTCGTACTGTAATTCAGGCGAAATAAAGTTCTTCCTGAAGCTGTCAAGTTTGCAAAAATACAAATCATCAAAAGGCAGTCATATAAGAAGATTTAAATGTTCAGACATATGGAGGATACCACAGAGTTTCATGTGTAGAACTCAGCAGCAGAGTTCATTACTTACAATTTCGTCCAGGTAATCATCTATTGCTAGTAAGCATTAAATTATTATTATCGCCTGTCTTAGCGCACTCCAACACCAAGTCAATAGCCGATACAAGTATGCCATTTTGCTAATTCATTGGCTGAGAAAACTGATAAAAGACGTGACACCATTGCAAAGTCTTTGTGAATATTAATCAAACATCATCAGGTGGAAGTGTCTTTATTTGACAAAATACAGAAAACAGGCTGTTATGAAGCCATTGTGTAATTAAATTATACATAAAAACATCATCCTCGTATTTACAAAGCTGGATAGATATTTATGTGAAAATGTGTTAGTCATCTTGGGACTATAAGCTGAAACAGAGGTGACAGCTAACATGTTATCAAGCTTAATAAAGGTCATTGGACCTATGTAACCAAATCTAAATTGACCAACAAGACAGGATTAGTCTTTGTGGGTTCCAAATATAATGGCGAATAAATGCCGTGTAGAGGGACATAAATTGACTGGTTAAAGTATCTGGTATATTAAAAATAAATGGTCGGAATTTTTTTTGGTGATATGCCACAATATCGACTATGTTTACATAGATAATTTGTTTGAAATTCCGAACATCGTCAGTCCTCTTCACATTGTTTAGCTTTTTACACCTACATTTATCCATTCTACTGCATCTTCTGATACCCTACACCGTTTGAATAAATAAAATAAATACTAGTTCAGATGATGGGAATTCACTAATTCGTCAGTTGAATTATCCGTTTAACGTTTGATTTCTACATTGTCAATATAGTGGGTAAAGCACTGAAGTCTGGAACGGCCAAACACACTTTCGCAGATTTTGTGATGATTACATTTTACAGCAATAGAGTAAAATAGAATGAACTGTTTCACAGTGCGCAAGACCTTTAGAGAACAATCAGACGTCTCACCTGAACCATAAAATGTCCAAGTTTAAGGATTTCAAATGAGACTTACACCTCAATTTTGATCACCAACTCATCAAGACCTATACCGCATACTCAACCACTTTATTTCCTATTATATAACCAGATGTGCAGCTAGACCTTCAACTAATGGGTCAAAGATTACAATCGCAGTCCAAATACCCAGTTTTGAGCAGCCACTTAGCATAATTAGCAATCACACGATATGTGTGGCTAATAACCAACTGCATGGAAGTGTATGTAGTTGCTAAGTAGCATTTCTTTCGCCCGTTCATCTCGTATGACCAGATATCGACTGACTTACCTTACGGCGATAGCTTTCACTTTCGGTGCAAACCACACTAAGGAATATCTCAATAGACAGGCCTTTACGAAACCACAAGACAGAAAACGCGCTCACTCCCACCCCTTAATGGCAAACTAAAAGCTATGAGATGACCATGAGTTTTTGCAAACACAACTTTTTTAGTACGTAGAGTACATTTTTATTGACTTCATGCGTTAACACGGCAAGCAACAAACCACGATAACGACAGGCTATAAACCGTATACCAGTTAGGTGTTCATCTATCAAAGCCTTTAAAATAAGCATGTTTATCAACAATCCAAAGGAATAAATAGTCAACCCTGTTCTTTTTTATTTACATACGACTTTGAGGTCGTAAGACTTGTTTTTCAATACTTTTTGTGGTTATGTGAATACAAGTGATCTAACACATTTGAATGTTCTATTTAGAAAATTGTCTTTATGCGTCGTTTTCATAGTGGGAATCTTGCTCCCATATTTTAGGGATATTTAAACCTAACTTCGTAATGTTTAACCTACAGTTTTCTTTGAACTCAGTAGAGACCGATTTGAGCCTGAATCTTTAAATGATATCTAAAAATCGACAGTTTCAGCTATCGTTACTAAATGGTTAGTGATCTAGCTCTGCAAAAAGTCATACTAATAAACATATTTATCTATGTACGGAAAAATTAAGAAATACATGAAGTTAGCACCTACAAGGTGGCAATAATAAAGCGTAATTTAGAAGATACAACGAACAGGAGTTTCTCAAGTGCTTTCAATAAACGTAAGATCTCAACAGATAAGTGGAGTAAAAGTGATTTGATCAGTAATTAAGCGAAGTTAACGATAAATACTTTTGCCACAATATTAATGCTAGTTGGATCTTATATTCGAGACGCAGCTGAAAGCAGTTTTTCAAACATCATTTGTACTTTCTTACAATCATGTGTTTGTGACAAGTTGCTCTTACCATATAAATTCAACGATAACAATTTAGCCTGGTAGCAATGCTTATCAATTTCAGGATTCATTAGTACATCCTGTTGCAGACTAAATAAGTGGAATTTAAAATGAATGGGTAAAAAGTTACTAAAGATAGTTGGAGTCTGTTAGATGCATTTAAGCTATCCTCTTTTAACTTTTTGGGATTTAAGGTGACATAAACGTACACAAATAAAGCATAAAAATGACTCACTGAATTCAATTAGATATTTCCCGTAGCCTTTACGCTGAAAAGGTGGAAGTACCAAAATACAAGCGACATTGTAGTCCTCAGAGGATTCCTTTTCTTTTGAAAAATATCCTACTAGGTGATACCCACGGGAGTCTATTTCACAAAGTACGTAGAATAAGAAAGGATCTGTGTCATAGTACAAAGTTTTATGGTCCAAGAACAGTTTTGCGAGAAGGCATAGGTGTTGCGCATACGTCTAAAATTTTGGGTTATGGATCAGGAAACTCACTTTATTTTTGCGTCCATCGATCTCAAAGAAACTATGGGGAAGTTTCCGATAAATTTCATTCCCCGGTGGATTTCTTAACGTGCATTTGCTCTGGTAATAAAATTTAACCAAAACAATGTACTCACTAAGTGTCTGCGTAGGCAAGTCAAGCTTTTCAGATACTTCAAGCAGAATTCACAAATATATACACATGGCACGTTTACCAACTCCTGTGGATATGGTGAAAAATACCACGGTTTAATCCGATATCGCCCTAATTCAATCCATTCTAGGTTTCTCATTCTTGTAACTGTATCTTGTTCGTAGTTGCTTGAAACCATACTACCAGTTTGTCTTGGTTTGCCGGATGTTGGAGAACCATCAAACACAAGATCATCCAAATCATTTTGAAGCGTAAGGTGTATTGGTCCTTCATAAACATCATCAGGTGGTCGTTTTCTTTTAAGCTGTGTTAAGCTGGAGGAACTTGAACTGCGACTCTTAAGAGGAGGATTCTAACGGCTAGCCTAACGTAATGACAACAAACCAGTTCGGATTCTGAATTCCGAAGTTCTGAGGAGCTTAGCACCTCATCATCTGTCGACGATAAGGTGAAAACTGGGTTTACAGAATCCTTTGTAGACCTCTTTAGAGGTCTCTCTAATTTCGAAAAGTCAAGGCGGTCCGCACTGACCCATTCGTCTAGCCGTTTGTTGTCTAAAAATCGTAAGCATTATGGACTAATCGTACAGTCATCGTAATGAACGTAGTAGTATGTACAGTCACCAACATCTCTTGTGCCCAGGATCTCAGCAGTATCTATTATATAATGTCATCTATACATGAAAAGTAAGTTACGAAAAAAATCCGATTCCGGTAATTTTACGGGTAGTTTACAACCTTCGAGGTTTTTCTTCGGATTAGAAACAACCATAATGAAGATTGGAGGGTAGTTGCATCAACATCCACTATGTACCGCCTGACTTTATATTTCCCCCTTCTTCTTATTCAGTGTTCAGTCTGTTTATTCTTTGTTGATTTCGAACTCTATTGATATTCAGCTTCTTTTTGAATATTTCTACCTAGAAGATTAAAGATTCATGTTTGGGTGCACTCAGTCAGTACCAGCTCACTTTTGGTGAATAGAAATATGAGTTTTGGGATATGGTAGACTTTGCTATTAGCATCACAATATATGTCTAGATTTGACTCTATTAAAACAACGTCAGGCAAAGGTCGTTTGACTGATTATAGGCTAATATCAGACCGTCAGCGGTTCTCATAAACGAGTTTGGCTTAAATTCTGATTTCTGGAATAAATCCAATCAGACTCTCACTATATGTATAGCACATGTGTAGATGAAAAACATGACTGAGCATCAGTGAACGTGGAGGTGGCAGGTGCTTAATTATCTAGTTTTTGACCTAAGAGAACATCTGTTCTGTTTAGTTTCAGTAATATGTTATTAGGATTAACGAAGTCTCCTATTCCAACCGATAATATTTATAACATCTGTTCGTACTATAGTAGTGGTAAATGTTCGTCATTCTAAATTAGAGCTGATACCCGACAATTTGGTGGCTGTGACACTGCGTGCAAGCCGTTGTAGGAGCACCCATTGGGAACAAGGTCTTCATGCTGTACGAATTTCGCATCGCATAAGAAGACATCTCTAACTGACGCCTTTTTATGTGGGTGATCATGTGACACATTTCGATTGAATTCATCCAGTAAGGCGTACTGTGTCAGTTAAAACTATTTCCATCGATAATGTAGGCTTTTGAATGATTTAAACGGACATCTAGCAGTGGGGAAATTCTGAGGGTGTAGAGCACATATGACAGGGGATTAGCATTTGACCTGCTGCAGTCTGAGCGAATGCTAGGTTGAGATTAGAATGCCAACGAAGATAATTTTGTGTTGAGTTCTGTTACAGAAATAAATTATTATTAATATTCACAAGGCAGTCACACGGTGATTTTTATTGTCGACATTGTGAACATGGACCTGAAAATCCATAATGAGCTGTACGATATGCAAAGAAATGTTTGAGCGAAATACTTGCCCTGGAATGCAAGCACTGTGTTAGCAGTCTGCTGTTGTTACTTATGCTTTACAACACACACAATCACCCAAAGGAACAAAGAATCAGCCAGATTATAAACTTCCAGGATTTTATCAGTATTTGATTTCGGATACTTGCTACACCTGAATGACCCAGGGTTTAAGTACTTCCGAGCTGTTAAGAATGAAGAATTAAAAGTAGCTATTTTGGAAACAGCTTCCTAGCCAGGACCGTGGCTTTATGCCACACTACTCATTTTTCAGATGCTTATTAAAGCTCAGAAAGAAATGAATAATCCTACTAAACATGTCATATTTTACTCTGCCTCACTTATATTGATACATGTGTACTGATTTTGCGAGATATTGTAAAAGTACCCAGAGTTTTCACATCAGCCATTGTCGACCAGTAAAATTACACATCTTCCAATAATAGATTTAGTGATGACAAGGGAAATTTCTATACATCTAAATTGTAGAGAGTCACACGAAATAGATTACCTGTGACCTTATGAGAAGTATCAGCCACAAGTACATATGGAGGCCTTAGAACTATTGCAACTTTGAAGTGAACTTATGAGGATCAAAAATGACTAGGTATTAAAAAATAAAGAAGTTAACCCTTTAGCAGAATTTATCCACTTAAGGATCAGGGCTGTAAGAATACAGACAGTGCTTACCTTATTCAGTGATCCCTACATTTTGTCCTTATCAAAACTCGTGAAATACATAGATGCATTGAATGCAATATTCAGTGGATGATAGAGTTATCATCCTGGAAGTCATGCTGGACTGAAGGCAGATCGCGAGAATTCCTTCAATAAAATTCATTAAAAAAGTAGAGTGGAACTTTATCGTAGAAGCTTCTTTGGATTTCCGGGAGTATCTTGATTCCTACAACTGAAATCTTAAATGTTATGGTTATTGAGACTATCTCAGAGTGAAGTGTGAATTATTCACAATAATCCTACATGGTGGTGCCCTAAATTTCGATGTCATTACTCCAAATAAGCTAATTCTTTTGTTGGTTACGCGGGTGGCCTGCGGAACACTGTGACTTTGTAAAAAAATAGAAACACGTAGCATATCTGAAGAACATGATGCTATTGTTTTTCAAGAAATGTGTGATTAGGTTCTAAAAAATGAATATCAACCAATTTGGAGTCCACCATGCACCTGGAGCCGTAATAATGGAAGTGCAGCGGTGGATTATTCCACCAAACTATTAGCCACAAAATTCATCGCTGAACATCGGATGCTGACCAACACTTATTAAGTAGACTTGTTTAGCTGAAGGCTCACGGTCAAGCATCAACCATTCGGCATGCCATTATGTTAAGTTCATTCATTCGTGCACGATCACTGGCAATTTAAGAATTCAATCCGGAGCTATGATTTTTTCCCGAAATATACTGAGTAATTTGGACGACCAATTTTGGTGTTTTTCTTTGCCTTCGGTCTAAGCGGAACGAATAATAAAGTTGTTGGTATTAGGTCTTGCGTTAGTATAAATTGTACTGTTTGTGAATGTCAGCACCCTCGACCTCTGAAGAAGCAGAATAAACTGGTTGGTCATTACGCATATTAAATGAAGTACTTATCAGCGGTGACCATCTTGAATAAGTTGACGAAGTGAAAACAAGAAATGGTTCATTCGGGTGAGATTTCAAAAATACATTTGCTTAAAGGAGTGTCGGACAGCATTCAAGGCGTGAACAATCATTACATTTTAAACGTACAATCTAAGGACTCATAAGCTATCTCTCCGTCATTGTTTACATGATGGAATTATACTTTACCACAATGCACAAGTTCTGTTATTATGACGGTACCATCAGTGTTTTAATGAAACCGATTTACCTAAAGGTAAAGAGTAGTCAGTTATATGTACGTGGTACTGTGTAAGCGAATACAGTGTTAAATAATCATAGATAAATGAAAGAAATAAAAGGCTAACTTGTACATCGTGCGTCGGTGGTGCAGTGGTTAGGGTTCTCGCCGATCAAGCACATGGTCCGGGGTTCGATTCCCTGCAGACGCACACCTGATTTCCATGGTTGACCCGGAAAATTTGGGCTACCGATATCACACCCTGAAAATTCCATACCTGTGCCGAAAATACAGTGTGGAATCAAGATGTAATTAAAAAACCTTGTATTCAGTATTTAATCTCTTGGTGTAGTCTTTTAGAAATAGACCGACAACTCGTGATAATATATGAAAACTAATGTTTTTAGACCTTTGTTTTTGAAAGCATGGCGAGAAGTCGGTGAAGCGGGAACCTTATTTAACACAGAGAGGATATACATCATTCAGTAGATATAAAAGCCATGAAAATCGTATAGGAGACATGGTTCTTACTTGGTGACTCTTCTCATCCTACAGAGTTTCCTAATCATTCACTGTAACTGAGTGGCCATGGAACACTGCGTTTTAAAAATCCTGCTATACCACGGAAATGTGGCGAAAGTTGGGGTTGAACTGGGACACATCTAAGTGAATGATAGTTGTTGAAAGATGTTTTTGGGTTACTCATTACTACATGTTATGGACTATGCAAATGACAGTTCACAAGATAGTGAGATTTACAGGTTATCAAAATGAGAGGAGACAAGGACTATTAGGAGGTTCTTTATGGTTTGGGATTTTGAAGCTGTGATGACACAGTGATACCATGGAATACGTAGATTGTCCTACAACTGAAATGTACTGTTTAACGTGTGAAGGGAAATAGGTAGTAATTCAAATAAGGAAAAAAAGTCAGATCACCCAAAAGGTAGAAGTTTCTCGGACTATCTCTACTAAGTGCGTTGAGCCATTTGTTTATCAATGATTGTGGACGAACGCCCGAACGTAACATATCGTCGAAATGAAGACCATGGATACTGGACCACGTTCCTTGAGCTTAACCCATGGACATAGATAGCAAAGATTAACTCCCAATACTGAATGACGACAAGACTTAAGGCTGAAAATTTTTGTGCGTTTAGTTAGCGCTACCACAGAACCCCGAGTATTGCAGGAAATGAAAAACGGCAACTCCATTACAACTGAACTCTCCGAGAAAGCAGTGTTGAAAATTTATTACGACGTATCCAACTTTCAAGTATTATGTATAGTATCTGAGCAGATAGCTGTTAACAGTTAGAGGGGTTTCAATTTAATGTGGTGAGTCTGCTGAAATACTTTACATACGTATAATGAGAATGCACCCCAGGCAGAGAAATGACAGAATTCGTGGCTGTCATGAGTGACTTACAAGTAGAAATCATATGGATCTAATTCCGACTATCCTCTTGCCTCCTTGAATGACAAAAATTTAACAGTATAGAAAGTTTTTCACAAAACACTGTGAATAATTTTTCAATGGCAAATTTCAACTTCAAAAACAAACGCATAAAAATTGCCCTGAATACTGTCTTTAGAGTTAAGGAAACAGCTTTGTGAAGAATATGTGACCAGGAGTGAGTATCAATAAAGGCTTCTTTATATTGTTTTTCGGGATAATGTGTGCACTCAATTCATATTAATGCTTTTACAGCCAAATTGAGATTTTGTTGTTTATCTCTTTCAACAGTCTATAAGATAAACAGTGGATATTTGGTTCGGATTATTCGTTCATGAGGACGAACGATGCATCTTATATTTCTCTGTTTCTTCTTCCTACTTCAAATCTCCACTAAAGGTAAACATAAAATATTTTGGAGATTTAATTTTAGTTTCTTGCGAAATTGCTTTTTCTGAGGACTACTCTTGCGAAAATACAATATGTAATCCTCGAGCTGGTGACTTATTAATTGGACGTGAAAGTTCCCTTATTGCTTCATCAACTTGTGGACTGAATGAAGTTGAGGCATACTGTGTAGTTACAACTAGTGGGAAAAGCTACTGCAAAGAATGTACATCTAAACAGCCATACAATTCCATAACCAACCCTGAAAGCCATCGGATAGAAAATGTGGTTTCACGCGTTCCAAGCAATCCTGGAAGATGGTATGTTATACTTTTTTTTGTAAAATTCCAAATTTAAAGAGGCACCTTTATATTTTCAATTGACTGGTTTTCGAAGGTTAATATCTCTAAGGCCTACTGGTATTATTTAATTACACAGAGGTAGTT